AACACTAGATATCTCTAGATCCAAACTTGAAAATTTAACACTCACCAAGGTTAGCTCGTCTCGAGTTTTTTAATTTTTGTAGGGATTTAGAACCAGACTTGGAAGAATATCTATTTTTTTGCAGTAATCTTACCTTCTTTTTATCACTATTTATATTTATACCCATTTCGTTATCTGAATCTGAATCACAAAATAGAGAACCAAATTTTCTATTTTGTTTAATCATAGTGCCATGTATAAAAAATACAACACTATGATGTATGCCTGCGAGAACCAGAAGATTCCCGTAAACTAAAATGTTCGATCTAAAAGCAATAGCTTGCCCCTGTTTTGCATGTATTATTAGTTTTAACTCAGGAAATACTAATTGTCCACCTTCAAATATTCCAAGTGGGCACACAACACAGAGTGAATTGTGGTGTCTTTTAGATCCCGATGAAACTGGCAAATAGCATTGAAATTAATTGCTATAGTAGGAAAGCCTCCAAACGATTTAGTAACGTTTGGTCCAAGATCAAGTTTTCTCATTTTTGTATACAAGGCCGGATATGTTTCCTTAATATAACTATTAACAGCATCAGATAATGGTTGAAGGCCTTGTATTAATCCTTAAACACATTTTAAATGACCCTGATTGTGAGATGAGGCAGTATTTGATGTTGTATAAAGTTTATTGTTATTGCCCGTAAAAGCACCAAAATGCTCGACCAATTCTTTCGAAAATTCTTTGGACTGGTAAGACAGATTATCAAGCATGTGAACATAGTATTGTTCCACTGCTATCTTTGCACTTTTGGTGACCCTGAAACTCTGAAAAGTGTATAAATCCACCATTGTTTCCCCAAGAGCATTCTTAAAACATTGTGGGTCAAATATATGGTGATACCCTTTTATATTGATATCTTCCTCGGACATCTTATCAGTTAATACACTAGCAATAATTTGCTTGTCTTTTAAATTTCGACAAAGTGCCTCAGATATTGTTTGCTTTAGCGAAACTTTTCCTGCTTTTACATGTTGCTAATGTGCATGCTTTATCTTAGACCAGAGGTACTGACAATAGTTATAAATCTGCTTTACAATGGAAGGACTGATTGCAAAAAATACCCACAAAGCGAATTGCTTCCATGCTAAATCAAAATTTTTATTTGTGGGTTTGGTGTGATCAAAAATTTCTAATTCTAGTAAATCAATAAATTCAGCGAGTATTTGAAAGATAGTTAAAATGGGATGAATAATTTGTGTAGTTTGGGGTGGTAGTGATCTTTCTGAATTGTATAATTCGCTCCAAATATTTTCTAGGTCAAATTTGGAAAGAGCATCATATTTAAGGGAAAAGGTGTTTTGCTTTATAGCATCCAATAGAAGCAATTCTCGGTCCAGTAGCATCTTAATAACTTCTCGTTGCCATCTTCTTTCTGCAAATTTTTCGAAAAAGGTGATCTTTGGATCCATTAAAAAAATGGATTGCAAATCATTCTTTGACTTAAGATCACTCGCTATGAAATCTTCGGATTTTCAATAAGATAGAATATATTCACGTGATTTGCTTTTAGATAGACAGGTCTCACTTTGAGTCTTGTGCTAGAAAATATATATTCAAAAAACCAGTAAATTGATATACAAAAAATACTTTATGTTGAATAGTAATAAAATCTTCTCGGTGGATACATTCGAATCACTCTCAGTGGTGTGGTTTGGGAGTTTAAAACCCATGAAGTCTGCGTCACCTTCCTCCTCACACACACCCCACTTCAAGGATAACGATCACGCCTGAGATGAAAAAATAACTTTATATAGAGAGGGAATACTCAGATCCTAGGCCTGTCCCGAAAGGCGAAAAGTACCCCTAAGAAAACTATACTATAAAACTAAATGTAATAAAAGATATTTAACCTACTTTTAAAAGATCGTAAAATATGTTCATACTTTCTTCGATATGATTAGCATTAGAATTGGAAATACCCTCTCCGACGATCAAGCTATCGGATTTTTCAATTTTAGCTTTTTTTATGATGCGTAGTTCTTTCTTACGCAAATTTCTCTTAGAGGCTTTCGACATAGTAGGTGTATTTTGTAGCGACATAATGTTGATACAAGTATGTGATTTATAAAAACAAAAATAAAAATTTTTAAGATGTTCTCTTGAAAACTAACAAATTCGGAACAGAACTTTGTAGTAAAGATAACCCTTTTATTATAAATTACGACATATTCTTATTTAGTACATAAAAAATTCTATAACACTTACCGCTATACTAATGACTATTATATGGTTGAGATTGAGTTAGCTTGTCTTAATTTTTAGGTGATTAAGCCTAAAGGGTCATCCATTGGGCCTGCTCCGCAATAGAATTATATATAATATATTTTTTTCTAAATTGTGTAAATGCAGGTTGGTAGTATGTGACCTCTAGATCTCAATATCATATTTTATGAATTTTCTAGCAAATTCCAGTTGTTTCAAGGGCTTGGGACAAAAGTATAAAACCCCATCACTTTTCTCATCTACCTCAAAAATTGCTTTCTAAAAATTAATCAATTTTTTAATCATGAATACACACACTTCTGTATCAGATATTTTTAACCAAATTTCCAATTCATGTTACATCTGCCAAAAACCAATTAAAAAACCAGTCGCTGTCTTGGAATATGATCATATCTTACATTTCAACTGTGCTATTGAATTTTTTGCAATTGGTAAAAATATTACCTGCCCCGTTAAAAATTGCCAAAATCGAATTAAAAATATAGAAGCAGTTGAAAAGGATATCGGTAATCTTGCGGAAGCTTTAAAACCTGGAAATACTCCTAAAGTTAGATCTTTTCTTTGAGAAATTTCTAAAGATTTACCCCATTCTGACGTGTTATCTGAAATGGAAGAAATATCTCCCTCAACTGCACAGGGATTTCTCTCTTATACATAAATATAGATCAAGCTGAAGAATTACTCGCTCGCTTCGAGAGAAATGTGGTTCGTGCGAAAAAAGAAGTCGTTTTGTCTTATTATCAGTTCAGGAAAGCAGATGCAGAAAAACTTAAAGAGTTACTAAAGATATCGATCCCCCTACGCACGGCACAGAGTAAGATAGTTGCTGAAGTTAAGAAATTACTCTCCAGTGGTACTTCTATTAATGTTATAAAGAGAAGAATTGCTACAGCTCAAAAGATTTATGATATCTTCAGCACAATTGGTGAGGATAAGATCCAACGAATCAGAAATTTTAGCGCATCAAGTATTGGAGCTTTCAAAAAAGATGAAATTGAGTTTATTAAAACCGGAGATAACAAATCTAAATTTAGAATAGAAAGGAAAAGTTCAAATATATGGACAGACTTCAATGTATTGCAGAGCAATGACCCAAAGGGTCTTAATTCTGGTACAAATTCTTTAGAGTCGAATTATATAATTAATGTATCATATATGGATCAGTGTTAAAAATTCATTGTGCACGTATTGTTATCTGCACAAAAATTAACAATTACTGTGCAATATGCACAGAAAATAAAATAACATTCCAATATAAAAAAATTTTTTTGCACTGCATATTTGTGCAGAATTTTAAACACTGATATGGATAATACAGAGATGATATTAGACAAATAATGATTTTCATATTATATGACATCATGTAGTTTTGGCTCGACATCATATGATCAAGTGTATTATTGCGAAGCAATGATAGCACAGAGTGCCAAATCTCTGATTCCCCTTCGGGTTTAAATTTGCTGATCTAATACTATAAAAGGTTATAACTCTTTGAGCCTAGCCTAAATGCGTATAATGTATGTATGCATCAAGGCCTTATTTTTTAATGATTTTAATAAAGTTATGGGTAGAAAACAAAATAATAATATATATCTATACTCAACAATTACACGATCAGTTAAAAAAAAATGGCGAGCCCACGGGACCCCCTCTTTATTTAATAAAACATTGTTGCCAAACATTATACAAATAAAATATATATTTATTATATAATAAAAAATGCTCTTAACGGGTTAGGTTGGTGGGGTTTACATTTGATCTAATATTTCCCTTCATTGATCAGGGTTCAACCAATCATTATCATCATTTTCCTCATCACGCTCTAAGTTTTCTTTCGATATTTTTCCCCAGTGGTGCTATCATTAGTCTTGGGGTGGTGCTATCGTTAGTCTTGGGGGTGGTAGTATCATTAGTCTTGGGGTGGTAGCATCGTTAGTCTTGGGGGTGGTGGCATTGTTAGTCTTGAGGGTGGTATCTTTAGTGCTCATTTTACGGTTCTAAATAAAAAATATAGTAAGTAAAATTCATTTTCATAGACTATTAAATGGTAAAAACATTACTTTTTTAAAAAATTTTCGGCAAGTAAATCAAGTAAAAAATATATGAGCAAAAAATAACGTTATTGCTAACTTATCTTAAGGTGAAAACTTGCTTATTTTTATACCTCCATTTGCTAGATCTAAAAAACTTGCTAGAAAAATATATGATTAGTAATTACGTTACCCAATACAAACTAGATCCCACTATGTAAAACAAGTCTATTCGGCTATAAGTTCCGTATACTAAAGCTATTTTGTTATTTTTCTGATAAAATTAGACCCCTTATATTTGACGATCTCTCCTGTGATGTAAAAAAAGTTAACGATCTCGACGATCTGGGAATGCCAAGTTCCTGCAATATATGAATTTTGATAAAAATACTAATAAAGAACGTTATACTCATTGCCCTTATAGCCTTTTTAAGTCTTATTCTTATCGCAGGATCGTATAAAGTAAGGAAAAGGGTCTAGACATTATTTGCATTTGTAATACAGTATTCGTTAATAAAAAAATCGAC